GTACCACTACTCGTTTGTGCTGCTCATGCTCCACGCCGGTGTCGTGATGCTCCTGCTGCTCAACGTGCTGTTGGCGACCATGAACGAGACGGTCGCCGACGGTCTCCGCGCGTCGCAGCGAGACGCCGTGTGGAGCTACGCGGCGTGCATTCTGCGGCTGGAGCTGACGCTGCCCCTCTCGCGCCAGCCCGTCTACTACGCGTCGCGTCGCCCCGACGATACCAATGTCAACCCCGCGTTTGACGAGGTGCTTGTCCTCGCCGACTGCAACCTCTGCGACGACGACATGGCGGTCGTCCGCAGCATTGAAGAAGTCGGCAAAGACTGGTTCCGGACCCTTCGCGACCTCCAGCGGCGCGCTGTAATCGAGGTAGATGCGCTCACGGCGGCCGTGCGTGACGCCAACCACTTTTGCGCCTCGGCCATGTACCCGATGGCATGCGAAGTGGGCATCCCGACGGCCCGTGCGGCGATCGACGCGGCGTTCGCCTCGGTGGTCGCCAAGCGAGCGCCTGAGCCGTCCGACCGCTGTAGTCGCCTCCGCGCTGTCCAGCGCACGGTGCAGCAGCACTGGACGAGCTTGGCTTCGGCGCTCTCACTTGAGGCGACGACCAACACTGCCGACCAGCACGACGTGCTCTTTGCCATGGTACATGGCGTCTCGATGGCGGCCATGCTGGCGCGCGCCTGGCAGAGCATCGAAGCTGTCTTTGATGCGGCGGCGGCGCGCTGGGAAGAGCGGCCGGAACCTACGCCGTCACAGCTCCGCGACGCAATCGTGGCCAGCACCAAGGCGCAGAACGCGCAGCTGCAGGCGCACGTCGATGCGTGTATGGCTGCGATGCAAGCGATGGAGACGCGATATACAGCCGCGCTGGAGGAGTCCAAGGCTGCCAACCGCGCACTGGACGCCAAGCTCAGTGAGGTGCTCACGTTGCTGCACGTGAAGGCGTGATTTTGGGAAATTGATTTGCGACGTTTTTGATTGGCTCATTTGCATCATAATTTCAGCCACTCGTATGCATGTTGTAGAGCGGCTCGGTGAGATGAGGCCGCCCGATGGCCGCCAAGGCACTCGAAATCAAAAGAGCTCAAAGTTGGATAGATGCTAGCCGACACTTTGGAGAGCACGAATCGCCATGTCACGTCGACGTTGGCGGCGTATAGCAGTAGTTGGACAACAAACTGTTAATTGTGGTAAGGACCATATTTAGGTATCTGTAGCCACATGTAGCCAAAGTTAGCAGCCGCTGAATGAACCATCATCGATCAGCCGCGCAACTTAACTCCACCAGCATTTATGGCCGTGTCATGCGTACTAGTACTCGACGGGAATATAGTATGGTGACTCTTTATGTAGCGTTCGTTCGTAGGCTATAGTATACACGTGCATCCTGGTTGCCGTTGACACGATGCACAGCCAAAATGGGCAACCACCCAAGCGGTGCTACTGTTGCTGTTGACGAGGAAAAGAGGCAAAAGAGAAGAAAAACGTGCTCAAGACGTTATTTATGCGTCGTCGTCGCTCGAGTAGTCGTCGGTGCTCGGGCCAAAGCGCGAGGACGTGTAGTTGGTGTACGTCAAGAAGTGATTCGAGAGCTTCGACTCGAACGTCGGGACGAACCCCGACGGCGTGAAGCCGAGGTCCTTCTTCATGTCCTTGCGCAGAATGCTCGCTAGTGAAATAAAGAATGTGCGTCCCAAGACAACGAAAAGGACACTTGGTGTACCTGTGATGAACGCGTTGGGGGTGAGGATGACATCCTTGGCGCCGTCCCGCTTCTCCGTCTTCTTGGAGAGAAGACGCATCGTGTCGGCAAACTTGGACATGCAGTTGGTGTTCTACAGACGCATAAGACAACATTGTCGTCGCTTTGGCCAGCGTGTACGAGGTACGGCGGGTCCACGAGCACATAGTCGAAGAAATGGTGAAACTTGGCGTCGACATCCAGCGGCGAGTTGTAGTCGTAGAACGCAAACTCGTCCGGGTACTTGTCCTGGAACCGGTGGTCGTACTCGAAGAGATACACGTTCTTCCGCTCGGGATGCAGAGCCTAGACCCATTCGTAGCTGCTTTGGGGTGCAAGAGAGATACCTTGAGCGCCTTGAAGGCGGCGGGCGTGCTCACAAACGCGATGGGTCCGTCGTTGCTGTGCTCCATGGCCTCGAGCGCGAGCGCGTCGCCCGTCTTGGTGTCGTACCAACTACATTCGCATGAGTCGTTCGAACACGCGTGGACGATTGTACAATTGCGAGAGGCGAAAGTCTTCCGAGACATCGTTGTCTTCGTCGAGCTTGGCCGCCGTCAAGTGCGCCTGGAGCGCCGCGAGCGTCTCCGCCGAGAGTTCTGCCGAGAGCAAGTCCATCGTCGCCTCTTATTGCACGTGCACAATGGTCGATGGCCAGGAATGACTGGGCAAACTGAGTCGACCAATGGCATCGCAGCGTTTTTTGACAAGCAGCCAATCAAACGCGAGTTGTAGCCTTACCAGCAAGTTGGCCACGAAAGTGCAAGGAGTGCTGCCAAGAAAGAGTCTTGGCCGTTGATGGCGCTGAATTACCCATCGAAGCGACGCTATGTGTGAGGCGTTGTGCAGTATGTAGCTGATCTAATGGTGTCGTCAAAGCGTCCAACGACCGCCACGCCTCGTGCGGTGGCCAAACCGCAGCTGGCATGCGATCCACATTGCGTTTGGCTTGTACATCAGTGGTAACGCAGGCAAGACAAGCTCTGTTGCGTATTAAACATAGCGACTCTAGGGGAT